AAGAAATATTTTCAGAAGCCCCCACTGGAGGATGGAATGTGGAAGAAGGATTCCTTTGTGTAAAGTTACATTTCTCAGCTTCCAAAGTCCCCAGCCCCTTAAGCCAGTCCTGGAAGAGGTGCAGCTGGGAGTTCAGCAGAGTCAAAAACGGGGCGGTATCCAGAGTTCCCGTTCCATATTGCAGCCGGTGTGGTTTGGCATTCAGGCCAGATCAAAGTCCACTAGTCCACGTGGGGAGCGCAACAGAGCCATGCACCATGTGCACGGGAGAGCGCAGCCCCTGCAGCAGGAGTCCCAAGAGAGAGCTCACTTCTTTGTTAAGTTTAAATATTTAGGTTTTGTGCCCTTGCAGCGGCCACGCCCATCCTGGCCAATTACTTGTTTACAGGTGTGATTGACAGGCAATTAGCCTCCCACATCATCAGACCTCACTGGGCATGAGTCTAAATTGCCTTTGTCTAGTCTAGTCCCTTCCCCCATCAATGAGTGGGGAACAGACTTGGAGAGTGTTAAATGCAGCTTTTTGGCAAAGCTGGATAAATTGTATGCCTATATATAGCCTTCCCTTCCCTTCTTTACTGTTAAATAATTACCAGGTTATTACAACGGCATCAGCTTTACACTTTTACTTGTCCCCTCTTATGTTTTTGATGTCACTTTTTACCTCTTATTGTATTGCATATTTATTAACAAATTGACATACCATTCTACTACAGAATTTCAGTTTTCCAAGTCTGATTGTATATATTTCTTTACCAGTGTGTTGTATATTTTTATATGTTTTCATGTTGCTGGTTAGTGTCATTTCCTTTCAGCTTAAAAGTCTTCTTTGCAAGGCATGTCAATGGTGATAAAATTGGCTTTTGTTTATCTGGGAAAGTATTTCTCCTTCTTATCTGAAGGATAGCTTTGCTGGATAGAGTATTCTTATCTGGCATATTATTTCTTTCAACTCTGAATATATTATTCCACTTTCTCTGGGTGTGTAGGGGTTCTGCTCCGAAATCCACTGACAGCCAAATGGGGATTCTTTTGGAAGTAACAATCTTTTCCCCCCCTGGTGCTTTTTTGCATTCTCTCTTTATATTTGATATTTGACAGTTTCATTATACTGTGTCTTGGGAAGGTCTTTTTGCATTGAGAGAACAGAGTGATCTATTGGCTTTGTGATTTTTTTAAGTATATTTTTTTATTATGGAACAGAGAGAGAAAGGGAGAGGAAGGGAGAGGAAGGGAGAGATAGAAACATCAATGATGAGAATCATTGATTAGCTGCCTCCTGCACGCCCCCACTGGGGATGGAGCCCGCAACCTGGGCATATGCCCTGACCAGGAATCAAACCAGGTAACCTCTGGGTTCATGGGTAGATGCTTTGAGCCACACCAGTGGGGCTGGGTTCCTGGTCTTTTACGTCCAAACCTCTCCCCGGGTTGGGAAATTCTCAGCTATTATTTTTTAAAATATACTTTCTTCCTCTTTTCCCTCTCGTTTCCTTTTGGAACCCAAATTATTTTCATATTTGTACATTTGACAGAGTGCCATAGGCCACACAGGCTTTATTCATTCTTTTTTTCTTCTAATTGGTTTATTTCTATCTTTTTTCTCACTTATGCTTACGTTTTTAAAAAATATATTTTTATTGTTTTCAGAGAGGAAGGGAGAGGGAGAGATAGAAACATCAATAATAAAAGAATCATTGATTGGCTCCCTCCTGCACACCCCCCACTGGGGATCGAGCCCAAAACCAGGGCATGTGCCCTGACTGGGAATTAAACCGAGACTTTCTGGTTCATGGGTCAACACTCAGCCACTGGGCACACCAGCTGGGCTGCTTATATTTAATTTGCTCTTCTGTAGAAACTTTCTATTGCATTTTAAATTTCATTCATTGAATGATGCAGTTCCAGGATTTCTGTTTTGTTACTTTTTATGACTTATATCTCTTTAATAAACAACTCATTGTTCATATCTCCCCCCCCCCTATTTCTTTCTGAATGTTGTTGTAGCTCCTTGAGTTTCTTCAAAACTGCTATTTTGAACTCTTTACCTGCTCCATCACAAAATTCTGTACCTTCAAACTTGGTATTTGGAGAATTATTGCTTTCTTTAGGTGATATGTTTCCTTGATTTTTAAATATTTCTTGCTGCTTTTGCATTTGAAGCACAGGCACCTCTAGAGAGTTTACATGAATTAAACTCACAATAGAGGTGCCATAACTGTATATTAGTCTTCAATCTTCTCAAATCCTATATTTGAAAATGGTTATTTTTTGAAAATAATTTTCTCAAATGGGAAATAATTAAATTCCAATCAGCTGGGGACTAGGTAGGTGAAATGTGGTAAATATATACCATGGAATAGGACTCAGCAATAAAAACCAAGTTTATTGGGCCCTGGCTGGTGTGGCGCAGTTGGTTGGAGCATTGACCAGTACACCAAAAGGTCTTGGGTTTGATTTCAGTCATGGTACATACCCAGGTTGCAGGTTTGGTCCCTGGTTGGGGCACATGTGGGAGGCAACCAATCAATATTTCTCTGTCACATCGATGTTTCTTTCTCTCTCTTCTTTCTTCCTTCTAAAATCAATAAACATATTCTTGAATGAGGATTAAACAAACAAACAAAACCCAAGTTCATTGGTACATGAAACAACACAGATGAATCTCAAAGGCATTGTGCTAAGTAAAAGATACAAGATTCATAAGATTACGTACTGTACGATTCCATACACATGACTTTCTAGAAAAGGAGAAAATTTGTTGGCATGAAGAATACATAGTGGCTGCCAGAGGTTAAGAGTGTAAGAGTTTGACTTCAAAAGAGTAGCATAAAATAAATTCTTGGGCAGTGATGAAATCAGTTTTATTGACTGTGGTGGTGGTTACACAGATCTATGCATTTGTCAAAACATATAAAACTGCATCAAATAGAGTGAACTTTTGTGTATATAAATTAAAATTTTTAATCTCAATAAATGATATATGTTTTTACTTAAACATTTGCATCTTTTAATTATCATAATGGACTTTTTAAATAAAAATATTCATTTGCATTTTCTTTTTAATTTCATTACTGGTAGTTCTTTTTTTTTAAATCCTCACCCAAGGATTTTTTTGGTAAATTGACTTTTAGAGAGAGAGGAAGGGAGAGAGAAACATCTATATGAGAATCATTGAGATTGCCTCCCATTGGAGAATGAAACCCACAACCTAGATATGTGCCCTGATTGGAACTGAACTCATACCTTTTTGGTGTATGGGACAATGCTCCAAATGACTGAGCACCCAGACGGGGCTATTACTGGTCAGTTCTATAGCCCATTTTAAGTTTTTCTTTCTATTGGTTTAAAGATATCCTTATTTAATTAATATATATTTTCTTTCAAATAGTAAAAATGTAATTTTTTTGGTTTACTTGTTTTAACATTTTAAAATTAGAATTGAGTTATTTTTCTATAATAAAATGTATCAGATATTACATTTATGGTTTCTATCTTTGGTGTCACAACTTGATCTCATTTACTGTATTTTTTTTTAGCTTAGTGGTTTAAACATTTCAGATCTTGAATCCACATGAATTCCATCACATATAGTTTATGTATATAACCTTTATTCCAAATTATTGGGGGTGACTTGCTGTTTGGAATACTCCATTCTTTCTTTCATTGTTTTGAAATGCTACATTTATTAATTACACTAGATTTTTAAAAACAATCTAGGCCGTAGTGTTTCCATTAAGCAGATGCTGAACTATTTTGAATAATAGAGTAATTTATCCATATTGGTATTTCTTAAGCATTTTTCTTCTTTTAAAAATATTCCCTGGCTGTTAATTTAAATTTTTATTTATTTCAGATGAAGTTAAGAATGCTTTTGTATAGTACACAATATATTAAAAATCAAAGAGAAAAAAGTACATACATTTGTTGAGATTATTATTGTAATTTTTGTCAGAGAATATTGATCTATGAAAGGGTATATCTATTTTTCAAGTAACTTTGTCACAGAGGAAAGAATATGTTTATATAAATGAATAAATATATTTATTTTCTTTTGGATTGTCTCTTTCCTGATTTACCTACAATTTTCGTTTATTGCTTACATGATTTTGATGGACTAGCTTTCTTGCCACGTCCCCCTCCCCCGCAAACACCCACACCCACACACACTCTCCCCCGCGCCCTGCGATCAGTGATGGGGTTAGAGTTCACTCTTCTGTATTGCTGGGATCTATCTCCCAGTATTTGAAAAAGTGAAATTGACATGCAGGTTGCCTCTCCTTGACAGCTTTGTGTCTGAGTTGCGCTCTGGCTGCACAAAGAACTCAGCTGTTATCCAGAACTTTCCGGGGAGCCCAGGACGGAACAGGGAACTATCTCAGACCTCCCCAACCTCCCCCAGCTGAGGTTGCACCTCCCCGCCAACCCCGCACGGCTGGCGCGCAGCCTGGAGGGAGGGCAGGCAGGCTCCGCGCGCGGGTCTTCTGCGCATGCCCAGGACCGCCTTCCCCTCTGCACTTCGCCTTCTGCTGCTTCTGTTTGTCTCTGCCTCGCTTAGGAGGCGGTCCTGGGGTCCCCGAGTCTGTGCGATCTCCGGGGCCAGTGTCACCTGAGGAGGGAGCCGCGGGTGAGCGCGGGAGGCTGGGCGGCGGGACGGGCGTCTCTGTCGGACCCAGAACTGGACCCCCCTCCCCCACGTGACCCGCCTCTGCACGGAGCGGGGAGAGGGGGCGGGGAGGACGGTTCTGCGGCCACAGGAGGGCGTGGGGGTGCATCTGGTCGGTGGTGAGGCGCGGTGCTGCGGGAGGAGGGTGTGCGTGTGGGAGACGTGCTCCTTGGGGAGCTGGGTCTGCGGGGAAAGGCTCCCGCGCTGTCTGTCGCCGCTTACTCCGCCGTTCCTCTCCAGACGGAGGGACAGGCTCCTTGGTCTCCCGGTACCCGTTCTGGGTCTGCGGTGCTGCCAGCCATGCCCATCCCTGTGTCTTGGTAGATGCTGTGGCTCCCGGACTTGCTGCACTAACATCCAGGAAGAAGTTTCAAGGATTAGCTCTTTGTGCCTCATTTTTCTTCCGAATGTTAGTGACTCATTTAGGAGGACAGCTTTGTTAGTGGTGAAGACTAAAGGCCAGATCTCCTGACTCCTAAGCTAGCACTTACTGTCTCTTTTCCACACAAGTAGAAGAAGTTTTGTATAAAAGATCCTTTTGAGAAATGACAACAAAGATAAATTAAAACATAGACCTTTCCTTAAAGCACTGCTTTTTATAGTCTTCTTAGGAGTCACTATCTAAAGAATTTAGTAATGGTAGTAGGGACATTGATAAACAGCTTATCCCTCAGTATTCTTCACCACAGGTTTGGTGAAGGGTTAATGTTCCTTCATTAGGTGTGTTTTTTGTTTCAATCAGGTTTGTCATTTAAATTTTTTGTGAACATCAATGGAGACTTAAACTATTAAAAAATCCATAGGAAGCAAATATTTATATTAACCCACTAAACATTTTATGCCCCAAAGCAATATATCTATATATATAAAAGGCTAACATGCTAAGTGTCCGGCCGGTCACTATGATGTGCACTGACCACCAGGGGGCAGACTCTCAACACGGGAGGTGACTTGGCAGTGGCAGTTCTAGAGTAATGCACCCCGAAACCAGAGTGGAGGGAGCCCGATTCCTCGTAGGGCCGTGCAATTCCACCTTTGGCTGTGGGTTATGTTGTTGCCGGGGCACTGTTGGCCCGAATCTGGTTTATTGCACACTTGCATTTGCGTTCCACACCCTATATGACAGTAACTTTGCATAGTGCCCTCTTGCACTCTGGGACCCCTCGGTGGATGTTGGAGAGTTGGTTTCGTCCTGATTTCTGATCCCCGCAGGCCAGGCCAAGGGACTCCACCTGCTGGAGGGACCCTGCTTACACTTCAGGCACCAGGGAGGGACTGCAGGGAGGTTGGCTCCAGGGCGTGTCCGGCCCATCTCGCCCAGTCCCGCCCTGCCGGCCACCTTCTAATTAATTTCCTTTCAATGTGCATGAATCTGTGCACCAGGTCACTAGTGTGATTATATTAGAGTCAGATAGGTTGTCTTTCACCATTTCCCTCTACCTTCTGCAGGTCAAAGGGATATTGACAGTCCTCCTG